CCACCCAGGAGACCTGCATTAGAGTTCCTAGTTCATGGCTTTGTCCTGATCCAATTATGGTCACTGTGGGCATAAGGAAAGTAAACCAGTGGATGGAAGATCAAGCTACTGCTATGCACCCTAGAAGAGAGCAGAAGATGACTGAAGTACCCGAGTTCCTGACATCCAAGCAGGAGATCCCAGATGGAGTTCCAGGATCCGGGCTTCAATCTGTGTCAATCCCAGCTGCTATAGGAATTTAGGGAGTGTACCTAAAGACAGGTGATCTGTGTGTATGTGTGTGTTTATCTGCCTTGTAAACAAATAAACTAATTTTTTTTAAGTGTTCAGTGTTTTTAATTACAAAGTTCCAAATTCCCTAATTCATCTCACAAAGTCCCTTTCCGCATGCGGCCAGCATCCTTTCCGCAAGCTCCAGGGTCGAGGCACTTGATGGTGGCATGTAGCCACAATAAGCCCACCACCTGGCCAAATTGTAATTTTAAAAACTCATCTCAGGCCTGATGTAGAGACCTAATGGCTAAATCCTAGCCTTGCATATGCTGGGATCTCATAAGGACACTGGTTCTAATCCCAGCAGCCCCACTTCGCATCCAGCTCCCTGCTTGTAGCTGGGAAAGCAATCAAGGATGACCCAAAGCCTTGGGACCCTACAGCTGAGACAGACCTGATGGAAGCTCTTGGCTTCTAGCTTCAGAATAGCTCAGTTCTGGCCGTTGCGGTCACTTAGGGAGTGAATCATCGGACGAAAGATCTTCCAGTCTCTCCTCATATACATATATATATAACTTTACAATAAAAATAAATCTAAAAAAAAAAAAAAAAAAACAACCTGGTCTCTAGGCCTAAGTGCAATAACCTAGCGGCTAACATCCTCACCTTGAATGCAACAGGATCTCATATGCGCGCCAATTCTAACCCGGGCAGCCCCACTTCCCATCCAGCTCCCTGCTGGTGGCCTGGGAAAGCAATCCAAGATGGCCCAATGCCTTAAGACCCTATACCCGGGTAGGAGACCCAGAAGAATCTCAGGGCTCCTGGCTTCAGATTGGCTCACCTCTGGCTGTTGTGGCCACTTGGGGGGTGAATCATCCAACGGAAGATCTTCCTCTCTGTCTCTCCTCTTTTCTGCGTATCTGAGTTTCAAAAAAAAAACAAATAAATCTTTAAAAAAAAAAACTGGTCTCAGGCCCGGTGCAATGGTGTAGTGGCTAAAGTCCTTGCCTTGCACGCCCAGGATCCCATATGGGCGCCGGTTCTAATCCTGGCAGCCCCGCTTCCCTTCCAGCTCCCTGCCTGTGGCCCGGGAAGGCAGTGGAGGACGGCCCAAAGCTTTGGGATCCTGCATCCACCTGGGAGGCCGGGAAGAGGCTCCTGGTCTCTGCTTCTGCTCTCTTACCCCTCCTACTGGGGAAGACACTACCCCACTGAGAGCTTCCAAGGGGCTCAGCTAGGACTCAGCCTTCAGGTCACCCTTCTGTCACCTCTCTCCAGGGGGTACCTTACTCCAGATCCAGCCTATCCACACCCTGGCCCTCAGAGCCAGGCCCTTCCTCCCACCAGCCATTTCTGATCATCTAAGGACAGCCCCTCACCATCCTGCAGCCTAGATGGCCCCCTCTCTGCTCCAAATCTCTAAAGTTCTGCTCAGTGACTGGCAGATGCTACCCGCCTTCCTCCTCTTCTCACCAGCACTTTAAAAAGGTGAAGGCATCTGCTGGGGCATAGCATCTTTTAAGCTCCCAATCACCTGCAGAACCTACTTGTCTTGAGCTAAGCTGAGGACCTGTCCACCCCAGTTAGCTTCTGTCCTTGCTTCCCAATCAGTGACCAACAACCTCTCCATGCTCCACAGAAACACAGGAGGCTTGCTTCTTATGATCTGGAGTCAACCTCACCACAGCTGGACCCCAAGAAGGTCACACGGCTCCCTGTTCTTGCATAACTCCAAACTCCTCCATGCCACAGTGGCCCCAATTCAAGCTTCCAGAACACCCCATGCTCAGTCTCCTCTTTCCCCATCCTTTGTCTTTGCTTTTCTCCTCTCCTAGCACACAGCTGTGACCTTACCGTCACCAGCTTCTTCATCAAAGCAGCCTTTCTTGAGGGTCAGCTCAAACCTGTTAAATTCCCCCCCGGACACAGAACCAAAGTTCCTGGGATGACTCGAGCCCAGTTCCCAGAGCAAGCAGCACAGACTCCAGGAAGGATCCCACTGGACCTTGGTTTTGAGAACGGTCCATCATCACACCCTTGCTGTTCTCTGCAAGATCCCTGACTTACAGACAACGAGGCTTAGGCTCCACCAAAGCACCCTACTGACACCCTACCCTTGCTTGCAGCTGTTCCACTCTTCACTCAGCTCCCCACTAACATGCTATGAAGGCAGAAGACAGCCCAAGTACTTGAGCCGTGGCACCCACGAGGAAACCTAGATGAGGCACCTGGTTCCCCTCCCCTGGAACGCTGGTTATCACAGTGAATCAGGTGACAATGGATCCATCTTTCTCTGTGTACAAATGTATCTCCTTGTAACTGCCATTCAGATAAATAAACCTAAGACCAAAAAAAAAAATTCAAATTGGGTTCCAATTCTGCCAGTGCCATATGACAGTTATTTAACCCTGGGCACATTCCTTCTTCTGTGACTCAGTTTCCTCAGCCAAGATCCCAGGCTCTGATGAACCAGTGATGAACAGCAGAAACAGAGAAGGACCTGGGCTACAATTGAGGTTGGCCCCTCCTCTCCTGTCCCCAACCTGAGGACCTGGCAGGAAACATCAAAGCCTGAACTTGCTCCATCTTCCTCAACAGCTCTCCTCTCTCCAGGGCAGGAACCTGCTACACTCAAGAGGCAATGCAATGCCCCAGGTTCAAGCAAGAGAGGTTTTTACCCAATGCCAGACCTCCAATCTAAGCAGCTACACTAACAGAACACCAGCAAACCCGCCGGGCATCCAGCATTGCTGAATGCAGGTTTCTCCCTGCCCCGGGTTCCTGGTAGCCTCTGCACTATCCACCTAATAAGCCTCTCTTCTCCCAAGGTTCCTCCTCCAGCTCCCTCACCTCTCCTCGGTGTGCTGACTTCACTGCCAGAAATCCTGACCCTGTTTCCCCCTTGGCTACTCCCTAGATGGCCACCAGCTTTATCTTTCTAAACACAGGTCTGGATTAGGCCACCCAGCAGATTTACAGCATTCCTAGGTTCCAGCACCCTGAAGGATGAAGGAAGAACTGAGCACAACAAGGATGGCCCAGGGCTCCGGCCTGCCAAGCTGGAAGACTCCCTGGCACTATTTTAGGCACTCCTATACCCGTGGCTCCCTGTGCCCTAGCCTTGATGTCCCTCAGCTAATTCCTGCAGGTAAAAAAAAAAAAAAAACCTCACACAGCTCAGGAATTCCCTCTCTCCAGACCGCCTGGTGAGCACATTTAGTGAGCAATTACTATTAATCATGCAGGTTCCGGGGTTCTCTGATACCCCCGGGCCCCCCAAACTGCATTCCTTCAGGGAACAACCAGATACTTTTCCCTGGGTCTACAGGATCTACCACAGGGTTTTGCAAGTAGTAGTGAAGCCAAAGATTTTTTAACACACTTGAGCAAGTCAACATTTTTTTTAAGTAGCAAGGACTGTCCTCTGCCCTTCAGCAACAACTTTCATGTTCCAACCAAGTGTTCTTTATTTCCTGTGGCACCGTTCACTATGACCTTTACACAGAATCCCATAGGCCACGAACTGGCACACTCCATGCACCCAATGCCCAACTGAAATCGGATTTCTCCAACAAACAGCCCCTGAGCCCTCATAGGCACCCAGGCTATGAGCTCGCCTTCCTCAGCTGCAAGGCAATATAAAGTTCAACTCCAGATTCCAGCTATGGATTTTTTTTAAAATGCCTCCAAAAGTATGGTAAGGTCAAATTCTTTTTTGGAACAGGAACATTCCAAAATTATCATGTCTCTGAGCACTAAACATAGAGCAACCTGAAAAAAAAAAATGATCCCATCTACCCCAGACTTTTCAAAAACACCTGGAACCTTATTTTCCATCCTATACACACACTCTCAGCGAGTTTGGCTTCCACACTAGGAATCGCTTCTTTTCACTTTTTTTAGGGGAAAAGAGCAGGACGCACTTGGAACTTCAGAATTCCAGTGTAGGAGACACTGCCCCAGGCTATAGTACCAGGAGGGCAAAAACTTCATGACTCCTCACCGTCAAAACTACTTCACAAGTAATTCCTTTTACACAGATTAGGAGCTTTTCAAGAGACTAACAATGCAGTGTTACACACCATCAGTTGAGCCTGCTAATGAAATTCGCTCGGCATTTATGGGGGGGAAAAAAGGTTTTGTCTTTTCTCTGGGGATATCCTCCACACATATTGCACATATTCACGAGTGAACCCAGCATTTGCCATTACCAAGTGAAGAAGATGAGAAGGTAGTTAAGTAGGTTCCCAAAGGAGCTCAAGTTGGGGAGAGGGGACCCCCTCCAACACACACGCCCCCACCCAGGCTCTGAGTAGTTTCAAGGGAGAGGCAGCAGCCATGCCCTTCCCTGACTCCGGCCGGGGCCCGACGCCTCCGAGTCGGGATCTGGCCCAACTGGGCCGCGACCCCCCCAACTGGAAGCCCGGCTGGCGGCCCGCAGGCCGCGCACGCACACACACCCGCGGCAGACGAGCAGGCCCCGCGTTCCCGGGAGCGCGGGCCGGGCGATGGCCTGGTCCACCGCCGCTGCACGCAGCCCGGGCCTGGCCGCCCGAACGTTCCGAGCTTTGGCTGCTAGGACCAAGAGCGGAGGGGCGGCTCCGCCCGGGCGGCGCCGCCTCCTCACCCCGCAAGGACGTCCGCGGCCCGTGTCCCCGCCCCGGGGCCGAACCGCCAGCAGCAGCAGGTGTTCCCCCGAAGGCTCGGCCGGCAGCACCGACTGAGGGCCGTCCCCACCCCCAGCAGCCCTAGGCACGGCGGCGGGGGGCGTGCGGCGCACTCACCCAGCGCCGGCGGGCGAGCCGCGGCAGGTGTTCCCGTCCTTCCAGCCCCAGGACGCCGCCGCCGCCGCCACCACCGCCGCCGCCGCCGCCACCAAAGCCGCAGCCACCGCCGCCGCCGCTCCCCCGGGAACTCGGCGCGAAGCTGCTTCTGGCTGCCGCCCCCGAGCCCAAGGAGCGCGAGCGCCGCGCCGCAGCCTCCGCGCGAGCACGTACCGGGCGGTGAGAGGGCGCCGAGCGCGAGGGCGGGGCGCGCGGCCGGAGCCTAGCAACCGCCTGACACGCGAGGCCCGCGACCAATCCCGCCGCCGGCTCCGCGAGGCGCCGACGGGCCGTCCGCGCGCCGCCAGCTTCTGCCTG